AGTAAGGGAGCCAGTTCGACCGCCACTCGTGCTTTCGCTTCACGCTCTCACTGCGACAGTCGAGTGTGCGCCGTAAGAAACACATTGCAACCTCAGACTCTGTCCGTGAGTCAGTAGTAGCCCGGCTACACCAGATACACCATGCACTAATGTCAATCTTAGGTAGGCATAAACCGGTTCCCTATCAGTAGTTCACCATCACCCAGCGCGATCCCCCACATATCCCCCATGGCGAGCCTCACGCACCCCCTCCTCACCGCATTCCGCGCGTCCAAGCCCGCGTTCGGCGCCTGGATCACGCTCCCGGGCGTGCTCTCCGCGCGCACCGCCGCCGCGTCCTCCCCGCACCTCTCTTGGGTGGTCCTCGACTGCGAGCACGGCGCGATCTCCATCCAGCCCGGCGCGGCGGAGAGCGCGCACGCGATCGCGGGACTCGGGGCGGCCGCCCCGACGACGATTGTGCGCATCCCCGCGACGGGCGCGTGCGCGGACGGCAGCGCGGGCTGGCAGATCAAGTATGTCATCGACGCGGGTGCGCGGGGCATAATCGTCCCCATGGTGCGTTAATCTGGTACTTTCTTAGTCTATGGGTGATGCAATTACTGACCAGTGACCTGCTAATAGGTGTCGACGCGTGCGCAGGCAGAGTCTGTCGTCGCAGCGTCGCGGTTCCCGCCGCGGGGCGTGCGCGGTTTTGGAAGCCCGTTCACGCACCTCGCGTGGGGCACCAGCGCCGGCAAGCTAGCCCTCGATATACACAATATATTTCGTTGCGCGTCCGCAGGAGCACAGGCCGTCTGCACGCATGCAGGACTGGGACGAGGAGCGGGAACGCCTTCGTCGAGCAGAGGCGGTGGCGGTGCGCGACTCGGCGACGGGACTTGGGTGTGGCGCGGACTCTGCCCTGCGCGGCGGATCTCGCTTGCAACATGCCGTTGAGATCTCCCGGATGGATTCACGTACTCTGCGTGAATTCTGGTGTCTAGTAGGCGCTGTAGGGGGTGCTATGGGGAGAGGGGAGGGAGCAGGAAGGAGACTCAGGGAGGGGCTCGGAGGCAGCTCGTTCTCGCACTATAGGCTGGCTGAACAGTGCATGAAATTCAAATTGTAGGGTACACATGCTAGGGACACTTCTACATCGTGCATGCAGCGACGGACAAACACATTCCAGCCGTCCAGTGCACTTCGCGCAGGAGGAGAGACACGGGCGCCTATGTGGATACCGCTCGCATCTGCAAAGTCTCGCGCCGCCCCCGTTTCCCTCCACCACGGCCGTCCTTCTGCCCGCATGTCTTCCTCTACACGCCCTCCCTGATCCATGCTCCTTCGACGCCGAGTCCGCCGTCTGCTAGTCGCGATGGGCCGGGAGTACTCTGCGTGCATGACTCGATTGGACCTGTCGGCGCGCGGGTGCGCACACCGTACCGTGCATTCCGTGTCGCTATCACGAAACAGGGCGCACCACGCGTGCGGGAGCCCGACGAGGTAAGCGCACCGCTTCGTGCGTGCCAGGGAGCCGTCCGGCGCGACCGGAACGTGTGTGGTGTTCCAAGACTTCGTGTGCGGCCTGTAAATCCTGGAAAGTCAGTTCGACGCCGAGATCCGCGCGTAGCGAGCAAGATAGCACGTACCGCGTCGCCTCGACAACGCGTGTCCATTCACGCCCGCTAAGTGCACCCAGAAGGCACCCAGCGTCCCGCGCTGCCGTCGAATCTGATGCGCTCGCGGGAGCGGAAGACTTGGTGCGCGCCGGGGCGTCGTGGACGCGCTCGGGATGTTTCCGACGCAGCGTACTGCGACTTCGTGGGCGGCCTGGGGGCCGGGAAACTCAGTCGGACGCCATAAACTGCGTGAGCTGTACGTACCACGTGTCGCCCACGCCCACGCACGTCCGGGACACGCAGCGTGCGATTGCGTACGTAGGGCGCGCTCCAGAACTGTCAGAACCCGCCCTGCTGCCTCGCGAGGGCCATGTCTTGCATCGCTGCCAGGTATGAGCGCGTGGGCGGATGGAGAAGGATACACTGCGCGAACGATCAGCTTAGCGGATGAATACATCTTGAAAACACAGCTAACCTGTTCAGTGCGCTCTCGAGGCTCGTGGACATCTAATCCGCCGGCTGTGATGAGTCCTGCACGCCGAACGGGAGCGCAAGGAGACGTCCGCGCAGAGGGCGCAACTCTCCCCGAGCAGCGCATCTTCCAAGATTAAAACGCCCGCCAACCAAGGCGATCATGTGCAAGGGTTAATATGGTGCAGAAGAACTCTGGTCGCCGATGAGACGACTTTGCGGAGTCGGGAGGAGTCGGGCGCCTATTTTGACGCAGCCCGAAATCGAGAAGTCTTGCCTCGACCCGTCGCGACTTTCCTCTGCTCCACGTCCCTTGTCCCTGCTCGCGCCGTTTCTCTCGTCTCCCAATCCCTTCCCCCGACATCAGCGCTCGATGCAAGTTCTGCAAGGCCGGGCCGGTCAGCGGGAACACCAAATCTGCAGAAAGAAAACGGTGCGTACTCGGGTTTGTTCGCGCAGGCTCTCTCCAGACAGTGCAACATGCGTGCCCGGAACGCAGACTGAGTGCCCGCATTCGTTGTTCACCCGAGATGGGAGTGGCTGCACCGCCGGAGTGTGTGCACCGCGTCGAAGGAGTTGCCACTCTTCGTAATGGCCCGGGAGCGCACTGCAGAGACGATGATAGGTGAGTGAATGTCTCGGGAGACGGAAACGGAAGCTACACGCACTGCGACACAATTTCGCCTTTCCAGAGGCAGGTACCTGGGCGCTTATTTGAACGTGGCTCGAAACTAGTCAGTCTCGTGCCGCCGTCCTTCGCTGTCCCTTGGCTCGTTTCGCTTTCTGGGCCTCAGTCTGGATTCCTTTTCACGCTGCGAGGTTGGGCTGCGAGTGAGAAACGAGGTCGCCATCCGCACGCGAGCTGCAACACTCGATCTCTAATCTGTAAATTTGAGATCAGTCAGGTAGTCAAAGTCATGAGCCAGAACGGTGCGTACCATGTTTGTTTGGTACTCACAGAATAGTCGCGAAGCTCGTGGAGGTACGTCCCAAACGAGGAGCACGTACTCGTGTCCATCGCGGGCGCTCTGGATGCCGGTGGGACTTGAGACTTCGCCTGCACCATGAGAACGTGCACGTGAGCCTGCTACAAGCAGCAGCGAGTCTTCGCGAGACAGAGTGGACGGGTGCAGAGGCTGGCTCGTCAAGCAGGCACGGCCGTCAACAAAGCCAGGAGGAGAGCGAGAGGGAGTCTGGAGACAGCCGCGGCCCGGGCAGCGCTCCGTGAACTCGGCGCTTATCTGAACGCCCGCGCGATCGAGGAGTGAGTGAGCCGACTCGCGCGCGATCTCTTCGTTCTGCTCCACGATCCGTCTCCGGTCTTCCACTTCGTCCTCACGCTACACATATCCGCGGAATGGTTGTAACGGTGGAAACAGACGTCTACTGCAGCATAAGACTCAGCTAATCACTCGCGCGCGTGCACAGCAATCACAGTACGTACCAAGCACCTTTATCAAACTTGTTTACGAGACACCGGCGTGTCCCCCCTCCTCGCACGCTCCATTCCTAGGCTTAGACTAGCTACCGGGCATCCGCGATGGATTCGGGCGATTCACGCCCCACTGGGAAAGTAAAAAATGCCTCGCATCGACGCTGCAGGGACGACGCGCAGGGACGAGACCGACAGGGTGAGTGGTGTGATTTCTTGCGTTATGGCAGGGATATGGGCGTGTCTACCGCCGGCGGCGTTTGCTGGCGGCGGACACCTCCGGCGCAGATGCGAAGAGCGGATCGCGTGCGCACGAGTGGTCTACGAGTCGTTGTATCGGTATACAGCTTGCCACACACGGGCAAGAAGGGGCGTACCTTTTGATAGACTGCAAAGTGCGCCGGAGACGCACGCGGCACTCTCTAGCTGCTAGAGGTGTGTAGAGTGGCGAGTGGCGAGTGAGGGGCGCTCGACGTGTCGGGAGGTTGTGCCCCGGGCTTGGTCCCCGTACTGTACAGTCCAGGGACATGTGGTAGCCCAGGAGAGCCGTGTCCACTACGGCGAGCACAGACAGCATGCGACACGCTACCTCGCTGTCCTCTGTGCGGTGTGTTCGGGCCTCCTCGACGACCCGTTGAGCCGTTGGCAGCTGCGCTGAGGGCGGGAGCACATGTGCTGCTGGATGAGCAACAACACTGAAGTTGTGTCTACCTCGTCGCGCTATCGGGCGTCCTGGCTGGTGAATTGCTGGGTAAAATCCCCCGTAGCACAACGGATGTGGCGGTTACAACGCGTGGGCACACATCTCTTGAGTACCACTGGCCTGTCCTGAATGCGGGCCCACCTACTCACCTCTCTCGCCTCGCGCTCTAAAACTTGCAGCAGCCATCTTGTGGCAGATAGGGTGTGTCCAGCGAACGGATGAGTGTGCAGAGGATGGGAGGATGATGCTGGGACACGAGACGAGCGGTGGCGGTAGGGAAGGGAGGAGCATGGAGAGAGGATGTGTGTAAGCGAAATCTCCGGACGTTGCGAGGGCGGGTGGGCATGTCAAACAAGGCACGGTGGGTCTGGCCCTGGCTGGGTGTGGTGCGGACGGAGCGGGCAATTTGGACGCGGAGATCTCGAGCTGTGCCGCGTAAGGACGCGCGGCGCGAGCGTCGTGAAGCAGCGGGTGTTTCGGGGGTTGTCCGGTCTGATGCTCCCCTTTACGTAGCTGTATCGCCCTGTACATTCCACCAATAGTATCTCTGGGTTTGTGGATACAGCGTGATCGGGCATCTGGTCGCTCTGGGAGTATCCTTACTTCTGGGGAACATATCTTATTCTTACGTTCT